TAAAATTATAGCCACTGGCTTCTGATCACTGAACTGTGAGAAAAAGTGTTCGAATATCGATGGTGTGCGATAGTAGGTTGCTGACTCTATTCTATTAGACTATCAGCTGTAGAGTCAAGAATATGTAACTTGATGACAACACATTTACTTCTTATTGTAATATGTTCAATAATTGACTGCTTGTATTCTAGCTGTTTGTATTTTTGAGGCAGTAACTTTGCAATAAGTTTGTACAATCTTTGTATACTTATGTAATTCCAGGGTGTTTGAAGGTGTATTTCAATATAAGGTAGAATATCTATGTTTCTTTTAAAAGGCTTATAGCGTTCCTCCAGTAATGTTTGGAGTCTAGAAACTGTTTCTGATGTACGCAGTCTCTTACTCATTAGTGTATGGTCGTGTAATTCATCAACTAGTTTATAAGTTACTCCATCATCAGGGAATGTTGCATCTTGTAGGAACTTCTTGCTCATGTCCAGTAACATCTTACAATCAATAAAGTCATAATAAGATTGGATCTTCCTTAAAATATCATCAATATTGTTATCAACTGAGCCATGTTCCCAGTCCATGTGTGCTATGAGCCACTCAGATACATCAGTAGCTAAGTGACTATTGTCATTTAATTTTTTTCGCAATGACTTATTAAAAGCTTCAGCTAAATTTGAAAACCTCTCGTGTAAGTCGTCTAAATTTTTACAAAATTTCTCTTCACTTGCTGTACTTTCAAAAGGATTAGTTACCGGTATGTCATAAAAAGTACCACCTATTAAAATAAGAATGGTTTAACTATTATTGTTACTCAAAGTAAAATAGATATCATATTCCAAACATGCAGCAGTAGATTATACAGCACATCAACAAGCTACCTGCAAGCTGCTTGCTGAATGAGATGCTAGTGAGGGACCAACACTGACTGATGTATCTTGAATCAATCCTATTTCATAGTACATTATATTTAATTTATACAATTTATACTATAAAATTAATGACTAGTTTATTTTTATGATTAATTTATACCTATATATGCCAGAAGGTTAGATTTTGCTTTGCCCAGTTGATTAGGAAAGTCATCACACAGTTTTATTAATGTATCCCAATTGACATCTCTATCAGCATCAAACCACCTCTGGAATACCGACATAAGATTGTCACTTGCTGTTCCTGGTATTGGCATTAGATCAGACACATCTACACCTAATCCAGCCCCTATTAGCCTGTACTGGTTAGCAGAAGAAACAAATATTTTTGTGACTGCTGCCATATTAAGTTCCTTGTCTATATAATTGAGGCTTTATAATTTTAAACAGTAAAATATTTGTACCTACCTGTTGTAGGACCAGGATTGAGTTCAACATCTCCTGATAAGAGGAGGAGCATACGTAGACAAACAATCAAATAGAGATCATTGTAAATCAGGTTAGAACTGCTCCCTCCAGGTAAGACTACTGACTGGAGGTAATTTGTATCAGTAACAGTAACACCAGTAGTACATTGTACTTGGTAGCAGTTACCTAATAATAAAATACCAGTAAATATACAAGTACAAAGTTGCAATTGTTGTTTACCTGTTGGAGGAATCATACAGATGTGTCTTAATAAAGAGAGAGAGTGAAAGAGGAGGAGGAGTAAAGCAATAAGAGACAGAGCTGCTGGCAGTTTAGATGTCTTCTCTCCTGATGTAGTACTGCCTGACTTGTTGTCTACTGCAGCTTTGAATGAGTGAGAGTGGCAGCCATTAGCTGGTCTACTGGAGGCAGCTTGACAGTAGTTCCACAGTCCAATACTTGCTCTCCATTGAGAGACATCAATCATCTTGTATGTAAAGGGCAGCACTGAAACTTTTAAAAGCAAAAACTTTTAAACTTTTGGACAGCTGCATAAAGTGAGTGTGATGCATGTGACATGTGGGTGTTGGGGATTTTCCCTGTTGATGCTTTTAACGTGTGCATGTGTACATGTAATATCTGATGTAACTATG